AAATAATTTTCGAGAAAAAATTTAACTTTCTGAATTTAGAAGAATATTACTCAAAAAATAAAAATAAAATAAAAAAAAATGAAAAATATTCCCAAAGTGGACACCAGATATCAGTACAAAATGTCTGTGAAAAATCAAGTATCTGTAGATGTAAAAAAATCACGAACGCGACTCCACCTATAAACATTTGGCTTTAGAGCAGTTATAGTTTGGTTTCAGAGGGAATTAATATATGGGAAGTATATTCAATTCAATAACATTGCTATACAGGGTGAGATAAAAAAATGCAACCAACTTTAGACTGCTGTCATTTCTAAGCCACTCATCCAACAGCTGTTAAATTTTTTCCAGTGACAGCTCATTATATTGTTAACAAACGTACAAAAGCATTTTGGTGAGAATTTTTCAGAAAAAAAGTTAATCGCGATGGAATTCAAGCGTGATAGTGTGCTTTCTTTATATTTGGCTGGAAAACCACAGGTGGCTATCGTTAGAACACGCCAGCATTTAAATGTAAATAAATCTTTTGTGTCGTAGCCCGACATCAAGGAAATGGACGGAAGAAAACAGCAACCTTAGCAGAAATGGTTCGAAAAGTAAAGAAGCGATTTGATCGCAAGCCGCGTCGCAGTGGCCGAAAAATGGCTCGTGAGCTGAAGATACCGCAATATTCTATTCAGCAAATATTAAAAAATGAGCTCGGTGTAAAGCCATTTAAATTGCAAGAAGTGCAAGGAACTACACCGCAACAGAAAGGAAATAGACTCAAATGACCTGAAGGGTTGCTTCGCTTGGCCGTAAGTGATGAACTGCCAAATTTGGTTTTCTCCGATGAGAAAACATTCGTTGTCCAGCAATTTGTAAACAACCAAATTAATGCTCGATTTTACTTGCCAAAATGGTTAGCTGAAAATGTGCACCTTCGGTTGGCTACCAGAACTCAAGCGCCGGCCATGGTGATGGTGGTTGCCGCCATAACAGTCAATGGTCGCTCTCCGCTGGTATTAATCGACCGTGGCATTAGAATAAATGCAGAAAATTATCGCGAAAATATTCTGGGTGGTGTATTGAAGCCTTGGGCACATTAAAGACCTTGGACATTTCAACAGGACTCAGCAACATCGCATTCAGCACGCGCCACCCAAGAATGGTAACAAAAAGAGGTTCCTCGCTTCATTTCCAGCCCACAATGGCCACCAATATCTCCGGATACCAATCCGTTGGACTATTGTGTCTGGTGTATTTTGGAAAGCAAGGTTGGTACTAAAAAATACCAAAGTGTCGATCACCTCAAGCAAGTGCTACGCCGGGAATGGGCCAAAATAGCGCAGAGCAACATTCGGGCAGCGTGTGACTGTTTCATTGGCCGTTTGAAGGAAATAATTCGTGCCAAAGGTGACCAATTCGAACAAATCTAAACTCATTCTAAAATTTGATGCTATTTCCGATACTTTTTGCTTTTATTCAATAAAATTAAAAAAAAAATGTAAAAATTATGGCGTTTGTCTTTGATGCAGTTTTTTCTTATCTCACCCTGTATATGGGAGCTGTACTCATATTAGCCATTTGGCCACCATAAACCTTATACCGGATACAGATATATATATATGAGAACTATATCCTAAACTGATCCGATCTCAATAAAATTTTACAGAGGGCTGTATCTAATACCAAACATCATCTTAAAACAGCAAATCGAATGAGACATATATATGGGAGCTATAGGTATATCTGAACCAATTTTCTCTAAATGTGATGTACTTGCTTCTAGACTTAATTCGGTTGGATGTACCAAAATTCAGGACTTTTGGACAGACATTGGCCATTTGGTGCAGAATTAACCCGAAATCGGTTAAAGATATATATGGGAGATATATCCAAATCTGAACCGATCTTGATAACATTTCGAAGGCATATTACGTATATGAGGGACTTAAACACCAAATCGGATGAGACATATATATGGGAGCTATAGGTATATCTGAACCAATTTTCTCTTAATGTGATGTACTTGCTTCTAGACTTAATTCGGTTGGATGTACCAAAATACAGGACTTTTGGACAAACATTGGCCATTTGATGCACAATTAAATATGGGAGATATATCTAAATCTGATCTGATTATCACAAATTTTAATAAGGTTCGTCCAAACAAATATTGTTTGGAAAATGGCATCTCAATCGGATAATAAATGCGACCTGCATTTTTTTAACAAAATTACATGGACAGATGGACTGACATGCATAAACCGTCTCAGAAAGTTATTCTATGAAGATCCTCAAAAGTATGTATGGGTCTCCCCCTTCTACATGTTACAAACAAATGCACAAAGACATAATACCCTTACCATTACATGATGTAGGGTAGGATTATGCCTTAAGATGCCCTTGAACAAATATTTTTTTTAAAAATACACGATTGTAACTCGGCTGTGGCTTGAGAACATTTGTTTACAAAAATCTAGAATTGTAGCTTTGGTAACAATTGTTCAGTTTTTATACCCTCCTCCAATCGTAAATGGGACATGTCGGTCTACGTTTTCGGTTTCGGTATAACGGTACCTTTCGATATTCGGTTTTTTATGATTTGTGCGACATTATTCACCGGAATGGTTTCAAATTTGGTATTTGAAGTTCGTAATGAGTGCTACAGGCAATGATAAGCAGGTACACGTCTTCGTATAGTCTCCATATAACAGTTTTCATTTAAATGGTAGTTTCCGAAAGTTTTTTTTTTTTTTTTGACATTTTTCAAGTTTCTTCCAAATGGTGGAGGGTATTAAAAGTTCAGCCCAGCCGAACTTAGCTGCTTTTTACTTATTTTAAATTAGAATTGCAGTTAAGTTGGAAAAAAATATTTTCAAGGATCCATAATAGATGCTTAAGGAAATAGAAGGCCTTAAGGAAATATTTAAAAAAATCCACAATTGTGGTTAAATTTCTGCAAGATATAGGACACAATTGTGTTCAGTTCTGTTCAATTGTTCAGTTGGGTTTTAAATTTTTTTGGAAAAATCTACATTTGTAGTTCGAAAGGAAAAAATATTTTAATATAGTATTTAAAATCCACGATTGTGCCTTATTTAGGACTCGAAACATATTAAAAACTCAATGAAAAAACTTAAACGCTATTTGAGCTAAAAAATTATATAAAAAAATAGTCCCAAATAATATTCTTGAACAATTCAATATAGTGGTACAGGCTAAACAAATATTTCTTAAAAATCCATCTGTAGCAAAGTCGGGTCTTGGACATTGGATTTTAGAAATACCAACATTTTGAGTCTGATAAGAAATATGTTTTTCTTGAAGGTAATCCACACAGTTCTACAACAAATATTTTTTAAATAATCTATGATTGTTGTACGGATATGTTTTGAGCCCAATTTTTTAAGTAATCCACGAATGCTGTTCAAATAGATTTACCAATTTTTTTTATTTTTATAAATACACCATGATTTTTCGGCCGACCCTTAAAATCTTTATAAGAAACCCCCCATTTGTAACTCTGATAACCTTTCAAAAATGGAAAAGTATCACAAATAAATGACAAATAAACATTGACATTGCATATCAATTGGTACCCCAGGTGATTCCCCAATTATCGCCCAGTCTACCCAGAAAGCAGACGTGACTGGGTGATCGTTGTTCGTTGGCAAAAAAAAAAAGAGAATCGAATACATATAATTGGCAATTTACTCAAGAAATTTCTATGCATTTCATTTAATTATATATTGTTAAACAATAAAACATATTCTGAATAATAATAAAGCGAAGCTTTAGGTTGCTAAATCAAAGCTTGTCAATAACAGATGTTTGCTGACAAATGGCCGTTGAAAAACAGTTTTACGTTAAATTAGTTTTATTAGAATAAGTTAATTGTTGTAATAATAGGTTCAATCGTTTACTTCCCCAGTAACATTTACTCAGTAAGAAGTTATTGAGAACAAATGTGACTTTCTCTCCAGGGAGAGAGAGAGAGAAAAATTGCAAAACGTAAACAAACAGCATTTTGCAAAACATTTGTAAGTTAACAGCTGTTGCAGCAAAACAAGTTTGGGGCAAATCTTAACATATCATAAAGAGAAAATCGGTTAACGTAGTAAAAACTTTTACATTCTTGCTGTTCAGGAACAGATCATTTCTTTGTTTGTTATACCTTCCACCATAGTATGGAGTGTATATTAAGTTTGTAACACCTCGAAATATACATTTTAGACCCCACAAAATATATATATTCTTGATCATCATAAAATTCTATGTCGATTTAGCGAAGTCCGTCCGTCTGTGGAAATCACTCTAGCTTCCGAACGAAATGAAGTAGATTGATAAAATTTTACTCAAATGTATATTATGTCTGCAGGAATTTTGGTATTGAAAATGGGCCATGTAGGTCCACGCCTTCGTATAGCCCCCATATAACGGTACCTCCTTATATTTGATATTTTGATGATTTTAACGACATTAATTATCGGAATTGTTTCAAATTTGGTATTTGAAGTTCGTAATGGATACTGCAGCCTATGACAGTAAATTGTCTGTGCAGGTCCACGTCTCCGTATTGCCCCCATATAACGGTACCCCCCGATATTCTGTATTTTAATGATTTTAGCCACATTATTCACCGGAATGGTTTTAAATTTGGTATTTGAAGTTCGTAATGGATACCGCAGCATAAGGCAGAAAATTGTATGTGCAGGTCCACGTTTTATAACCCCTATGGTACCTCTCTATATTCGGTATTTTGATGATTTTAGCTACATTATAAACAGACTCTTTTTTCAAGTTTCGCATTGAATATTGTAATAGCTTGTGACAAAAGTTACCTATGCAGGTCCACGTCGTCGTATAGACCCTAATATTTGGTATTTTTAAGATTTTAACAGAATTTTTAACAGATTTTATTGTTTTCTTTTTTTTTTTTTTTGAAAATTGCCAAATTTGTACCAAATGGTGGACCGGCCGAACTTACAGCTTTTTTACTTGTTTTTTTTTATTAATTTTGTTTAATTATTTCATTTGATTTTATTTTTATTTATTTTTTTAGTTATATATTTCATTATTTACCAAGAGCTTAATATTTATTCTAAAACCCTTGGATCATGCGGCTGGTGCTCATCATTACAATGTAGGCTATTAAATACCCTTTCATTGACACCGTTGCGATAGGTCGGACGCAAATCAAAACCGATTGTATTATTCTGAAAAAAAAAATTAAAAAAACACAATTTGAAATCAATTCCTCCCTTATTCTTATCGTCAGAAACTAATGCCACCTCGTATCAGGAACGGGCAAACTTACCTTGAAAATAACATTATCACTTTCCGAGAAACTTCCAAAGAAATTGAATCGCTCTGATTGCGAATTAAATTCTTCCAAAATAGTTTGGAATATTTGCTGAATTCTGTGGGTGTCTGATCGATGCAAATGCTGTCTGGCAAATATCGCCCTCTGTAATCCAGCCTCCACATTGCATCTTTGGTAATCTTCAAATTCGGCTGTCAATAGATTGGAACAAACTAAAATTTCATCCTCCTGAGGTTGATAGCGGGCAGAGTCTTCAATCCGAATATAGGGCATCAAAGATGTTTTCATAAAACCGCAGATGTCATGACCACGTCGTAAATTGAAATAGGCAGCAGCATGGAAGGCTCGATGATTTGATTGATTTAATTGGCTGTGTGATGCGAAAAACAAAAATTCAAGATGAAAAGATGTTACATGTGGGCCATAAGGCGGGGTAGTGGAAATTCGTACCAAAAGGTATTAATATGTATAAAATAATAATTTTTTGGCTGAACGTCTACACTTCGCATGTATTCGTAACTAGTTAACGACTTTCTTCTTTTACTAGTTAACAACAGCATTACCGACAATTATCGATAACAGTAATTTGTCAATTGCTCATCATTACTGTATTTAACGAAGTATCGGTAAATTAGCGACGAAAATCAGATTTTAACCGATTGAACAACATACAAAGATCGAAAAGTCGACTTCTTTGTTGAAAACAAAAATTGAAAAATCAAAAGGTCCACTTTTTTAGATTTTAATTCAGTTCTTGCGACAATTGTCAAAACAACTTACATTGGAGCTTCTTGCAAATCAACAAGGGTAATCGACCGTGGCACCACTGCTATGGATAAGCTACTATTATCCTCTCGTGCAAATAAAATCGGTCGCAGCCGCTCCCTTCTTGCCTCACGATAACCATGGCCCGTCAATACGGTAAGATCACTCGAACCATAACGTACCGCTTCAATACATTCGCTGCGATTATTTTTGTGTACACATTCCAGTTCAAGGTTTATGACATTTTTCTTAGCTTCCTCGACGGTGTGAAGACATTTTTCGTGATCCACTTCCTTGTAGGTGCACAAACGATATGCTCCTCGATGGAAATTGGGAGCGTATACAGCTTCTTGGGCTGCTGCAAGTGTTGTAAACGCCAATAGGAATATAAATTGTAACATTTTTAAATTGCGACTGATAACGGCGAGCTTGAATTGGTTGGGTATTTAAAGATATTCGAAATGAGGAAGAACGGGTTAATGAGTTATTAATTACCCTAGCTGTACTGGAAGTTATTAGTCAGCTAACTAACAGATATTTAGAAGAGTGGGTCGGGAATTAACCAATATTTATAAAACAAAATTTTTCGATGCTTAATAGGCCTCGAAAAAAATAATTTTAAAATGTCCATGTTTGCAACTCAGATATGTCGTGAGAAAAATATTTAAAAAAAATCCAAGTTTAAGTGTTGTTTTAAAAATATTAAGTTTGCGGCTCCACATGCCTTGAGGATAATTTCAAAAAATAAAATTTGAGACTCAAATAGCGCTTGAAAAAATATTTTTTTTAAAATTAACTTTTGAAGCTCAATTAGCCCCTGAAAAATTACTTATAAATGAATGTACATTCAAACTTCTAACGGGGCTTAAGAACAACTTCTATAAACTATACGATAAAGACTCAGCTGTTACAAGAATATTTCTTTTTAAACCCACATTCGATTCTCATGTATTTGCTGAAAAAATATTGTTTTATATTCAAAATAAAAAGTACGTTAAATCTTCTTTGTGCGCTCCCCTTATTGAACAGTTTTATCATTGTGCCATCATTTCTCGGTGAATCACAAAGACTCAATGTTATCATTTCACTGAGGTTGGCATACCGTTTAATTTTAGCTGAACCGGGCGACTAACACTGTCGATTAATGACTTATCGATTATCATACATCGTTCACACACGAAGTTCCAGCACACACGAAGTTTGTTGTTACCTCGACTGCATTTACCAATTCAAATTATATCGGACTTTCAAGCTGAAAAGTTGTGAAAAGCGGTTCTTGGAAAGCTAACAGGCCTAGAAAAGCCAATTAAAATCTCCCAAAAAATATCTATAGATTGTGAAAGAAATAATAAAAGAATAATTTGAAAAAAACTGAAAGAAAATAAACAGTGAATACTAGAAGCAAATTTTTTGCTTCTTTTTAACAATTTCTTATTGTTAAAAAAAACAATAACAACAGTGTCTACAAAACCACAAATTTTGCCGACAAGTGAATATTATTTTGCAAAAGAAGAAAAGTTCTTTAAAATATAAAGAACTGCGAAGCATAAAAAAAAAGGCAAATAAAGTGCTGTTCTTTTGCTGCATTTATCTTCATTTCCTGTTCTCCTCTTTTTGTGAACACTAAAAACAACAACACAAACGAAATCTTCTCCAATAAGACTTTCCAGTATTGTTCCAGAGAGTGTGTGTATGTTGCTTGAATATATACGGCAAATCAAAGAATAACAACAAACATTGTTGCGTGCGAAATATTGTGTGTTTGTATCAAAAGAAGAAGCAAGGCAAAGCAAAAGTAACATAATAAAAACAAACAAAAAGGGACTTGCAATAAAAAACGGAAGGTAGACAGTAAAAACAACAACAGCAAGAAGAAGAAAAGTGCATTAATTTTTTGCTATACAAGCAAAATAAGAACAACAACAAAGAACTTTGTTAAGTTTGACAAACAACCGGTTCGTTCGGTTCTCTTGTCCCTCTCTCACATCATCATATATCTCACAATTGCCAAATACACAAATTGTTTGTCATTGTTTGGTGGACTTGAATGCATTTTGCAATTAAAGTGAAAAGACTTGCATAAACACGCACAACTGAACAACGGCAGATAGAGACATCGAGAAAGGTAAGCTTCCATTTGTTTTCGTGTTTTAGACATAATAAATTTCTAGATTTTTTTCATTGATTGGAATGTTCGCGAACGAAAAGAAGTAGATGGGGGACTGCAGTTAATGTAAACATATCAGCTGTAGTCCAAGGAAGAATTGGGAGAAGAATGGTTATAGGGTTGCCGTGTATTGAGGGAGTGATATGCAAAGAATATGTATAGAATAGTACAGATTTGACTGGAATGAATTAACGTCTAATGTTCAATATCAAGATTTCCTATAAGGTACAAGAAATATATATTTGCTATATAAAGTTTTTAAACGTTCTTTCTTACTTGTAGAGTTATCTTCTTTAAGACTTGTTTATGGCGGCTCTTACTACATTGAATATGCTTTTAGAGACGTTAAACTACCCACAGAATTTTGGAAATGTCAAATTTCGTTTGATTTGGTTGGAGATTGACAGCAAATCTGAGTGCTATACAAAAAAGTAAGCCTGGATTGAATATTTTATGCAAAAAGTTGGACAACCTGCTAAGAAAGCGAAATGTCAAATTGCAGCATATTTCAATAGACATTGGGCAAAATATTCAAAATACCGACAATCAGGTCATTTTGTATGTAGGACATTAATAACAGAATTGGGTCCAAAATCTTTAAAGTCCTGACAATCAGGTATTTATTGTTCGAAAGCATCATCCCAGAACCTTGTTGATATAGTATCAATTTTTGGTAAGTGCATTCGACAGGTGAAGGTGTCATAGCACCCCTGTTTAAAGAACCACAAATGTATTTTTTGATGGACATTGAAATGAATTGGCAGGATTTTTACAGAACCTACATTTGGAAATAATAATACCAATCTAAGCGTCTTACATACCGTAAGAAAAGACGGAGAAAAACGACAGGTGGTCTTTTTTGCTTTCGTGTTTTCGTTAATGATAATAAAGAACAATCAAGTATTAAATTACTTTCTCTGAAGTAAGTTGTAATGTGTTACAAACTTTAAAAATGTGTTGTGTTCTACAATGGATCTTTTTTAAATACCTGCCAATTTTGTACCCTCCGCCATAGTATGGAGGGTATATTAAGTTTGTCATTCCGTTTGTAACACTTCGAAATATACATTTTAGACCCCACAGGATAAAATTCTATGTCGATTTTGCGATGCCGTTCAGTCTATCCATCTGTCCGTCTGTGGAAACCACTATAGCCTCAGAACGAAATGTACTAGGTTGATAACATTTTACTCAAATGTATATAATGTCTGCAGGACTTTTGGTATTGAAAATGGGCCATGTAGGTCCAAGTCTGAAATTCTTCACAAGGAGTTCTTCGTGACTACTCTCCTTGTCTTCGAACTTGACCTGCCTGCACACAAAAGACTGATCTGTGCAAAATTTTAGCTTCCCATCTTCATTTGTTTGCAACTTGTTATTCAAAAATTTTGAGTTTGGGTACCCGAGAATTCCAGAAATTGATTTAATCATTTTTTTTCTTAAGCTTTCTTTTGTCAACCTTTTGCCACCTCATAATAGTTGTGATTGGGGCAATTGACTGCCACTGAATGTGATGTGCATGTCTGTACAAAATCTGATGACACCGACTCCCAGCTGCTGTGATGTATACTTTTTTTCAGTTTTGTTCTTATTGTTTTGCATTTTTTTCTTCTTTTTTTTCTTCATTCTGTTCATTACTTTTTATTGCAGTTTTTATTATATTTTCTTTTATACTTAGTTGTATGCTTTAACCGGTTGGATGGATTCTGACATGTTTCGCAAATTTGCTTTTAAAATTCAAAAAGTTTCTGGATTTTGGTTTTTTGCTAGTGGTGGTGGTGGTTGATGTGGCAGCCATGGATGTATGGATGGGTTTACATGTATTTTTCTGGACATGTTTGGCTAGCTACATGCATACAATCGCCAGACATATGGGTAGTATGTGTATGTTTTTATGGATTTTTTCTGCCTTCCCTTTTCTGCTTATTCTCTGTTTTGTTTTATATTTTATTTTAATACATATTTGTATCCAATACCACCATATACAGTTTATTTTGCCCGGTTTAACCTTGAAAAAATGTGTCGTTTCAGGTTTTTTATTTTTCTTCTCTAATGTCTGTCCTGCCTTGTTCTTCCTCATTTTTTAGGGGCATTATTTTGTTTTGTTCTAAAATTGCCATGCATTTCTTTTGTTAAATAATTGATTTTAGATGGCTATTTCGTAATACAGTCATGGGAGGAGATGGGGAAGAGTCGGACATGTCTACAAGTTGTCTCATTTTTTATTTAATTGATTTTTTTTCATATCTCGTGTCTGCCCAAAAGTGTATTTCAATTTTAAACCACAATCTCCTCCCATTTAGGATTCTGCGGGAGGGGTTTCGCTTGTCTGGTATTTTGTTTTTCATTGAATTTCGCACCGAAAAATTGCGTCGCAAAATATATTTCGGGTTTATTTTTGTAAACACATTTCGGGTTTGTTATTATTGTTAGCTATTATTTTTATGCCGGTTCTGCCGCAGCTCTCGGTTTGTTTTTTTTCGTTTTGGACGACGCTGAGTTGTTTTTCTTGCTTTTTTGTTTTGTTCTGTTTCGGCTTTTATCAGAAATTCTTTGGGGTAGGCTGTGCTTGCCGCACAGCAGCAGTCGTATACTAAAAATCAACTTTTTTTAAATACACGTAATAGAAAACAAATTTGTTTTTGTACATATGTGTGCATGTATGTAGTTTGTATATATACAAAGATAGCTTGTACATAAGAATTTTGTTTTGTTTGTGAAATAATGCCCACCATTCACAAAATAAAAGCTAACAACACACAGTCAACACCAACCACCTCAACAACGATTAGCAGCGAGTGGTGTGGCTGCAAGACAAGATATTCTGGAAAATACAAGACGTATGGAAACAAATTATCATAAAAATCAAAACAAATTAGTCTTTATTAGGTGGACTTAATACAAAAAAAAGTAAACAAATTACAGATAAACCTCAACAATACGAACCAGTTTTATACGCAGCTCCGAAATTTTCCATTTGAGGCCGATTAGTTATAAAATAAAATCGCGTAGCTGGTGTTGGGTATACAATAAGGAAGAACGGGTCTTTGCCGGCTACTAAGGGAAAATCTAAGGGATCACTAAATATCACTTTTTAAAAAATCCCGATCGAAAAATACTGTTTTTCTTCTATTCCTCCCAAAACTTTTTACGTTTTTATTTCTTAAGAGGAATAGAAGAAAAACAGTATATTTCAATCGTTTTTCTTAACTTCATATGACTTTTAATCTTACTTGTATGTGTCTGTTCAGTAGAAACGGATACAATACGATTCTTTCATCTGAACTTCCAAGTCAAAAAACCGAGCAACTTATAATCAGGGCAAAAATACCCTAGTGTAAAATTCGATGATGCCGGAACAAATTCTGTATTGGAAATATTTCAATTATCCCTCAATTCCGAGACAACATAATACTGCTTCTAGGGGACGTATTCAATACATATCTACATCTTCTTCACATTCTGCCTTTAGGTATAAAAGTCACTATTCCCAAAAGCACATAACCTCTCCTCTTTTTCCAAAAATTGTGAAATGTGTTGCTGGATCCTGAGATCGCAAAACTTTATAGCCTAGGATCCAAGTTCGACGTAAGAGAGAGAGAGGGAGAGAGGAGATCCCACGTAGCTGAATTTGCAGATTGAGGGGCACAAAATTCCGAACACAAATTATCTCAAAATCCATGGGGTCAAATTCGACCACACGTTCAAGTCGTCCGCGCAAAGCCACAGCTATCTTCGATAAATTCAAAAGTAGGACTGGATCCTCAATGCGCTAGCGAGCAGCACTTGGGCACGGATAAGAAAATCTTGCTGACCTCTACAATACAAGCCCTAATACCGCGTTAAAAACTTCAACAGGGTGCCTCCTCATGACTTTAATAAGGTTCTTCCCTTGCATCAGCCTAATCATATCCTTTCGTTTCAGTACCCGTTATATGTTGGACTGAATTCCCCCACACCAGAAAGAACCTGCATGATCTAGAGAGAAAGGTCTAACGGTATAAGACAGAATATATCCTCACAAATGCACTGGAGTTCTTCCCTTACGTCAGCATAATCATATGCTATTTTTGCAGTACCTGTATGAGTGTTACAATGTGAGTCAACCTAATAATTTTATGTTGGACAGGACTCCTCCACACAGGCGTGGCAGAAAAAATCCTGCATGATCTAGAAAGGGAGAGAGATCAGGCAAATCTGAATAGAATTCCTACTGATACAGTCGCCGATATAGTTAACCATTACAGTGCTTTGCACATGAAAACGTCGGCTGCCTAGAAAAACCAAGGTACTTTTGACTCAACTACGTTCAGGATGGTGCAACTGTCAAAACTTGTATTTGGCGCGAATTGTTAAAGTTGTGCGGAACGCCTTCCCAGCGTGTGACAAAGTCCCGCACAATATTCTCCTACTTTTTAATTGCCCCGCCAAACCTACCAATTAAATGCAGAGGTTATTTAACTACAGCCCATAAGAGTAGCTGACTTTCCAAATCTGACTAGCAGTCGGATTTAGCGGTTTATACAGCTAACATATATTACGTAAACAACAACAACATTATCCCATCATGTATGTATGATCGATCAGGATGGTGCAGCCGTCTCAATTCATATTGGACACGAATTGACGAACGCCTGGACATCGAAGAAGAACCGGATTAATCAGTCTATAAACAACAGTGCGCGTTATCACTGATACAATAACAACAAGATTATCCGATGGCCGACTTTGAATTCAATCCTCAGCTCCTTTATGAATTTTTATATTACCTATATTAATCAAATCAGTTCATAGGGCGCTCTGTAATAGAACTAGGTTCGCTGATTTGGAAGAATCGCAAGCTGTTGAGCTCTTGCTGTGCTCATACCCCACAAAAAAGTTTTGCTAAAAAAAAGAACAATAGATTCAAAATCCAAATTCTATGCCGCGGAACTAATATTCACCTGAATACCTTCATC